TTCGGCGTCCCCAAGCTCTGCATGGGGAAGCTGAATTTTCCTCATAGAGATGCATTGATTCAATACATCTCTATGTGGAGGTGATGATTGGTCAAAATGTGTTTGGCCCCGCCCCCTGTCGGAAAGCATTGGATTGGCTAAAAATCTGCAATTCCGATAATGTCACCAAGGGGGCAAAGCCAGCACCGGCAGACCAGCGTGGCGCTGGAAATAAGGTAAGTTTTATTTCCTTTTAAGGGGGCTAATGGGGGGCAAGTCACCTAAATAGTAGGTTTTGCACTATAGGGTCAGGAATACATGGATGTGTTCCTTTAAAGATACTATATCAGAATGGAATGTCCCACGCATGTAAAAGTAGCAGCTTTGTATACAGTTGCTAAATCTACATACATGGTTACATAGTTACATAGCTGAAAAGAGACTTGCGTCCATCAAGTTCAGCCTTCCTCACATTTGTTTTTTGCTGTTGATCCAAATGAAGGCAAAAAAACCCAGTTTGAAGCACAATTTTGCAACAAGCTAGGAAAAAAATTCCTTCTTGACCCCAGAATGGCAGTCAGATTTGTCCTTGGATCAAGCAGTTATTACCCTACATTGAAAGATTATATCCTTGAATATTCTGTTTTTGCAAGTATGCATCTAGTAGCTGTTTGAACATCTGTATGGACTCTGATAAAACCACTTCTTCAGGCAGAGAATGCCACATCCTGAGTGTTCTTACAGTAAAAAAACATTTCCTTTGCCTTAGACGGAATCTTCTTTCTTCCAGTCTAAACGCATGGCCTCGTGTCCTATGTAAAGTCCGGTTTGTGAATAGATTTCCACCCAATGGTTTGTATTGGCCCCAAATATATTTGTATAATGTTATCATGTCCCCTCTCAGGCAAACTAAATAGGTTTAAATTTGTTAACCTTTCTTCCTAGCTGATATGTTCCATTCCTTTTATTAATTTTGTAGCCCGCCTCTGCACTTTTTCTAGTGCCATAATATCCTTCTTTAGAACAGGTGCCAAAAATTGCACAGCATATATAATATGTGGTCTTACCAGTGATTTATAAAGAGGCAAAATGATATTCTCGTCCTGAGAATGAATGCCCTTTTTCATGCATGACAATACCTTACTGGCCTTGGCCACTGCTGATTGACATTGCACATTGTTGCATAGTTTGCTGTTTATAACAATTCCCAAGTCCTTTTCGTGTGTTGTTATCCCTAATTGGCTTCCATTAAGGGTATATGTTGCTTGTGTATTCTTTATGCTGAAGTGCATAACTTTGCATTTTTCAACATTAAATTTCATCTGCCATTTGAGTGCCCAGTCCCCTAGTCTATCTAAATCCCTCTGCAGCAAAGTAATATCTTGCTCACATTGTATTATTTTACAAAGTTTTGTGTCACCTGCAAACACTGAAACATGACTTTCAATGCTGTCTTCAAGATCATTTATAAACATGTTAAATAGAAGGGGTCCCAGAACAGACCCCTGGGGGACACCACTTGCCACCTCTAAGAAATTCAATACCTCCATAGGTTCTTTACTGAATAAAGAGTAATGACAGCAATTAATAAAACTGGTCTTTAAAGAGTCTAAATGAGTATTAGTACTGATGGACACATTGTAACTTCAGGCAAGCTCAGTTTAATATGCTAGAATTTTGACATTACTGAGTACTGTTGCCCCTTTTAGAAACACAGGTGGAGAATATTGTGAAATTGCCTTTGTGGGACCACACATTATAAGGTAAGCAACATATTATCCCAACCATCTTATCTCTTACTTTTATGCATAAACCAGAAACCCCAAGCCCAACACTGCTTATCCGAAGTCTTAACTACAACCCTAAAATCTCAACCTGTTGCCTCTAACCCTTATCTCTAAACTCTAACCATAATTCTAAATTCACTAAACTCTTAAGTTAATGCTAATACTTCAAATGTATATGTTTATCACAATATTAATCATGACCTTATTGTCTTTTACCTTTATGCATAATTTTTCCCAAATACTTTTAACATCAATACCCAACCTCTGATCTCATCTCATGATTCCCTTGCATCTAATCCAATTATCTAATACTGACATTGAATTTAGTTAACTTATCTCACATCTCAGCAGTAGCCATGTCAAATTGATGGAAACAAAGCATTATATTGCATAAAATTGCAATAGCCTATGTAATACATACCTCCGTATGAAGTTCCAAATCAAAGGTGACCAATTAAGTTTCTTCAAGCCCTTCACTACCAAAAACATCTAAACACATCCAAAGTAAATAAAAAAAAATAAAAAAAACGAATGTATCAACACAAATTTGCTAAACCTCTAGCTTATTCTAGTCCAGTCCAAATCCCTTATTACCCAGTACAATTATCACTAACATGGAGGGATGGAGAGATTTCTAACTTTTGAGATAATCTATGATGTAACTACACCTCTATTACAACACATCTATATTTCGTTATTTGTAAAATAGTTTAACTAAATGTGTTTTCTGGTTTTATTAATGTTGCATTATTAAGGAAAGACTTGGCTGACTGTGTTACTCCCAATGCGTTTCCATGACACTTAAAAATTTGTACCTGTGCTATGAATACAAGTATCTCTTTCTCAAAAACATATAGTTAATTAAAATTATCTTTAATAAAAGATAATCTCTACACAAAGATTATTATACAACTTTACACAAACCATAGTTGCGGTCCATCACCACCTATATATAATTGCCAGATCATGGTCTTCAAATTTTATGTTCAATATGATGTGTGTCTCTGTATTTTTGTGTGGAATGTATGTGTAATATATATTTTTTATGTTAATAAAACTAATAAAGAATATTAAAAAGATAAAATTAAAAAAGGAGATACAATTTTTGAATAATAGTATGTGAACCCATGGCAAATGAAATGGTAACAGAATAAACTATCTAGCTAACAAAAGGGACCCAAACCAAAGTTTATTTGTGCCTGATCTTTAGGTACGTTAATATAGCATGGGTGAATTTGAGAGGAGTTAAACCTTTGAAAAATGTTGCCGCGTTCATCTCTGAAGGTTATTTTTTGTTTAATTCTCAGCTAATCCTTAATTCAGTAAAACTTGTCTTTATATCAGTAGTGAAAAAATAATTCAACAGGCAAAAGGTGAATTTACTTGAATAACTGCACATTTGTCTTCTAGGTTACCTGCAGATACTGCCGGTCTTGTATTACAAAGAATTCAGCTGTATAAATACATTGTGCCATCTGTATATGCTGAGGGAATTGGGCTGATACAGCCTTAAGACCTGTGTCAGTTCTCTCACAGAAGGACTGTTTATGAACAGATGTTAGGTGGTGTTTTTCATAGAAAATGGACTCTGGAGAGAGAAAATGTCTATCAATGACTGTGGTAGGATGTGTAACTGAGATTTTTAACCTTGAAATTGATACACAAACATTCTTTGTGAAATATGTGCTTCTATCTCTACTTCTGGAGCAAAATGAAAAGTTGGAGATTGGGATTGGCTTTACGGGTTTTCCACATCTCATTTGAAATATCATCATGGTAGTGTTGTTTCTGTTCCTATTGCATTACGTAGCTCCAGCCAATTAAAGGAGAATAATAATTTATAGTAAAAAAATATATATTAATTTTCATTAATGGACCGTAATCAGTTCCATTGCAGAGAGATGCCTGAAAATAAGTTATTGCATATAATACTGGACTAATACATAGTTGCTATATCCACAGATATATCATATACATTTTGGTTAAAATGTGATTGACATGGCTGCATGCCAAAGCTCTGTTTATGATATCATGGGAATCGTTGTGAATACAGACAGTTCTTGCTTGAGATGACCTGTAGTCAGGTGTTTCTAGGTACTCGGTAATTATATAGGCAAAGGGCCAGGTAATACATCATAGTCACTGATGAGCTAAAGTCCACTGATACAAGTATACACATGAGTAAACAATTCACTAAAAATAGGAAACTAACTATTTGTGGTTGGGGGGACATAGGTGAAAGGTGAATGCAGTGTGGATGAAAGCATACAGTATATAGTTAAAGTAGATGGTATTTTATTGCAAGAGGACAGAGTTTCCTCAAAATTCCATTTCACTCTAGAGGTGAAAAGTGCTAACTTAAAATTTTTTATTAAAACAAGGCTCAAATGGAAAGGTGAAACATTTAGGTAGGATATATTACTCACCTATATCTCTAACACAGAGATTGCACGTAAGACATTATTAATTCCTTATTTTTGTTGTGCTTGATGATAACAAATATGAGACAGTATACAGAAGAGAAATTGCAATGAATTGATATGATAGGCCAGCACAGGTGTATACATACTACAGCACTTTTTTATGAACACAGTACATATTAAGAGAAGCGTTATGGCTTTGAGTAGACAAGCTGTATGCATAAGGTTAAACTCAAAAGGGTAGCAAGTATTAAGTAAAGAGAAGTTACAATGTTTAACTAGGTGGATTAAGATCCCTAGGATGCCCCTATAACTGTGGAATAATTAGAAATTCATTGTTAAAACTAACAGAAATAAAATAATATTAACCCATAAGGATAGACAGTAATACAAACAAGTCCCCATCATATTCTGTCTAGAGGAAAGACGTGAGTGGCCATAAGCCCAGTTTGTGCGTCTGATTCAGCCGATACCCACAATGGGCAAAGCACTTTCCCACAACAGGGGCCATGAGCTCAGATGTGGACAGGCTGGCCTGATAGCTGGACAAGAATGGGATATTTTGCAGCTGCACAGGCTTATCATATAATTAAGCCTTGGGCCGCAACAGACGCACCTCAGGCACCCGAAGAGTCCCAATGCTGGATTGGCTCGGTATAAATCTGCTAGCTGCCTGGAGAGATGGGAGCTTCTTGCCTCGCTGCCTTCTTGGGATCCTCAACTTTGTCTGGGCTGCAGCTGTTTGCTGCATGTTCGGGATCGGTTGTGGAGGTGAGTGTCTAGTTGGCTACTGAGGGGCAGGTTGATTCATCCTCTACTCTAGATTCTGCCAGAAAATATCAAAAGCTCTGTTCAGCTTTGCTGTAAAGTCTAGCTGTTCCTGAACAGTGTCGGGGGACCTCGTTGCGTCCACCATGTTTGATACGTCACTTGACGTCCCTGCGGACTCAGTAGTTTCTCCCGTTACTCCCAGTAGGTCAGGGTAGCCTCCCAAGGGGGGACTGGGATCAAACCCATCAGTCCAAAGGGGAAGAGGGTTAACAGGGCACCTGATGAGAACGAGTGGGCAGCTCCGGTCTGGGAGATCGGCCGTCTCTCCCGCCCATTGTGCTTCAGACCTCATGGTCTAGAACGAGCTTCAGGTGAGCCTCTGTCGAGGTTTCATTCTCTGTAGTGCACTGCAGTCAGTTCAAGAAGAGACAGGTATGTCTCTGATTTGGGGTTTAATCAAGCGTTTGAAAGCTGAAAATCGCTTGTTTTGCCAACATGAGTGAGGAGCTTAAGTCAGACACCTCTCTCCACCATGACAGTCATGCCCCCAAAAGTGTGCACTCTTTTTTAACTTTACAGAATGTGCACATTTCAATAAAATGTACACTTTAATAAATAAATCTACACTGAACAAAATTATAAATGCAACACTTTTGTTTTTGCCCCTTTTTTTCATGAACTGAACTCAAACATCTAAGACTTTTTCTATGTACACAAAATGCCTAATTCTCTCAAATATTGTTCACAAATCTGTCTAAATTTGCCAAGAAAATCCATCCACCTCACAGGTGTGGCATATCAAGATGCTGATTAAACAGCATGATTATTGCAAAGGTGTGCCTTAGGCTGGCCACAATAAAAGGCCACTCTAAAATGTGCAGTTTTATCACACAGCACAATGCCACAGATGTTGCAAATTTTGTGGGAGCATGCAATTGGCATGCTAACTGCAGGAATGTCCACCAGAGCTGTTGCCCGTGAATCGAATGTTCATTTCTCTACCATAAGCCGTCTCCAAAGGCTTTTCAGAGAATTTGGCAGTACATCCAACCGGCCTCACATCCGCAGACCACATGTAACCACATCAGCCCAGGACCTCCACATCCAGCATCTTCACCTCCAAGATCGTCTGAGACCAGCCACCCGGATAGCTGCTGCTACAATCGGTTTACATAACCAAAGAATTTCTGCACAAACTGTCAGAAACCATCTCAGGAAAGCTCATGCGCATGCTCATCGTCCTCATCGGGGCCTCGACCTGACTGCAGTTCATCGTCATAACTGACTTGAGAGGTCAAATGCTCACATTCGATGGCGTCTGGCACTTTGGAGAGGTGTTCTCTTCACTGATGAATCCCAGTTTTCACTGTACAGGGCAGATGGCAGACAGCGTGTATGGCCTGGTGTGGGTGAGCATTTGCTGTTGTCAACGTTATGGATCGAGTGGCCCGTGGTGGCGGTGGGATTATGGTATGGCCATGCATATGTTATGGACAACAAACACAGGTGCATTTAATTGATGGCATTTTGAATGCACAGAGATACCGTGATGAGATCATGAGGCCCATTGTTGTGCCATTCATCCACGACCATCACCTCATGTTGCAGCATGATAATGCACGGCCCCATGTTGAAAGGATCTGTACACAATTCCTGGAAGCTGAAAATATCTCAGTTCTTGCATGGCCAGCATACTCACCGGGCATGTCACCCATTGAGCATGTTTAAGATACTCCTTTAACCCCTTAAGGACCAAACTTCTGGAATAAAAGGGAATCATGACATGTCATTGATAAATGGATAATTGTAGCTCAATCTGTATTTATACCATTAGCCATCCCATCTTCTCCTGGTTATAATGTATATAATATCAATGCAATATAAAAGTGTATTTTATTTTTAAAATTTACCATTTTACAAAAATTTTACAAACAGGAAAAATAATGTGAAGAAAATTTGAATTATGTTTAATTTATATATCCTACACTGTGAATTTTCTTAATAGAAATACAGGGAGTGCAGAATTATTAGGCAAATGAGTATTTTGACCACATCATCCTCTGTATGCATGTTGTCTTACTCCAAGCTATATAGGCTTGAAAGCCTACTACCAATTAAGCATATTAGGTTAAAAAAAAAGAGAAACAAAAATACAAATAATGGTACAGTATGTATGAACGATATAATTCCACAAGAACAAAGGTGTTATATTCACACTCACACTTTGAGGAGCTATATCAGCTCGGTGTTAAGAGCCTGGACGGAATAATCTCCGTCTATGGATTTCTTGAGGTTCAAGACCGTTGGTGAATTTATAGGTGTAAATATTCGTTACATGAAAAACAAGAGTAAAATACACCACATGGTATAGTACGTAAATATAAAATATTGTGGGAAAAAAAAAAAAAGTGGATTATCTTCCTCACTTGACGCGTTTCGCCGAAGCTTTCTCAAAAGTTCACTTGATGTGAAGTTCACTTTTGAGAAAGCTTCGGCGAAACGCGTCAAGTGAGGAAGAATTTTGGACTTTTATACAGGACTGGTTTTATAGTTTATTATTCACTTTTCACTTTTTGTATTAAAGTATATATATTTTTTTAAACTATCCAGTCATTCCTTTTGTCCTCCTTCCTATCCAATACTGCTTTGCTGCTATACCTGGGTCCACTATATCCCAAGGTGGGGATTATTCCACCTGAAATTCTCCAGACTAGAGCAGGTCGTTGCTGTAGTATATGTAAGTAGGATCATCCACTTTTTTTTTTTTTAATAATATTTTATATTTACGTACTATACCATGTGGTGTATTTTACTCTTGTTTTTCATGTAACGAATATTTACACCTATAAATTCACCAACGGTCTTGAACCTCAAGAAATCCATAGACGGGGATTATTCCGTCCAGGCTCTTAACACCGAGCTGATATAGCTCCTCAAAGTGTGAGTGTGAATATAACACCTTTGTTCTTGTGGAATTATATCGTTCATACATACTGTACCATTATTTGTATTTTTGTTTCTCTTTTTTTTAAGTTACTCTGCTGGCCAGTATTTCTACAAAACGTATGTACATTTTCTGATTTTTAGCGCTGTTCACCTTTCTATTTTATCTGTCTATTTATCACAAGGTAGAGGAACACCTTGTTGGTGAACTGCTGCTCACCCCTGAGAAGAGAGCGCTTATTATTCTTTTGCATAAGCATATTAGGTGATGTGCATCTCTGTAATGAGAAGGGGTGTGGTCTAATGACATCAACACCCTATATCAGGTGTGCATAATTATTAGGCAACTTCCTTTCCTTTGGCAAAATGGGTCAAAAGAAGGACTTGACAGGCTCAGAAAAGTAAAAAATAGTGAGATATCTTGCAGAGGGATGCAGCACTCTTAAAATTGCAAAGCTTCTGAAGCGTGATCATCGAACAATCAAGCGTTTCATTCAAAATAGTCAACAGGGTCGCAAGAAGCGTGTGGAAAAACCAAGGCGCAAAATAACTGCCCATGAACTGAGAAAAGTCAAGCGTGCAGCTGCCACGATGCCACTTGCCACCAGTTTGGCCATATTTCAGAGCTGCAACATCACTGGAGTGCCCAAAAGCACAAGGTGTGCAATACTCAGAGACATGGCCAAGGTAAGAAAGGCTGAAAGACGACCACCACTGAACAAGACACACAAGCTGAAACGTCAAGACTGGGCCAAGAAATATCTCAAGACTGATTTTTCTAAGGTTTTATGGACTGATGAAATGAGAGTGAGTCTTGATGGGCCAGATGGATGGGCCCGTGGCTGGATTGGTAAAGGGCAGAGAGCTCCAGTCCGACTCAGACGCCAGCAAGGTGGAGGTGGAGTACTGGTTTGGGCTGGTATCATCAAAGATGAGCTTGTGGGGCCTTTTCGGGTTGAGGATGGAGTCAAGCTCAACTCCCAGTCCTACTGACAGTTCCTGGAAGACACCTTCTTCAAGCAGTGGTACAGGAAGAAGTCTGCATCCTTCAAGAAAAACATGATTTTCATGCAGGACAATGCTCCATCACACGCGTCCAAGTACTCCACAGCGTGGCTGGCAAGAAAGGGTATAAAAGAAGAAAATCTAATGACATGGCCTCCTTGTTCACCTGATCTGAACCCCATTGAGAACCTGTGGTCCATCATCAAATGTGAGATTTACAAGGAGGGAAAACAGTACACCTCTCTGAACAGTGTCTGGGAGGCTGTGGTTGCTGCTGCACGCAATGTTGATGGTGAACAGATCAAAACACTGACAGAATCCATGGATGGCAGGCTTTTGAGTGTCCTTGCAAAGAAAGGTGGCTATATTGGTCACTGATTTGTTTTTGTTTTGTTTTTGAATGTCAGAAATGTATATTTGTGAATGTTGAGATGTTATATTGGTTTCACTGGTAATAATAAATAATTGAAATGGTTATATATTTGTTTTTTGTTAAGTTGCCTAATAATTATGCACAGTAATAGTCACCTGCACACACAGATATCCCCCTAACATAGCTAAAACTAAAAACAAACTAAAAACTACTTCCAAAAATATTCAGCTTTGATATTAATGAGTTTTTTGGGTTCATTGAGAACATGGTTGTTGTTCAATAATAAAATTAATCCTCAAAAATACAACTTGACTAATAATTCTGCACTCCCTGTATCAGAACAAGAAAGGCTAATTTAGTTGAAACCTGTAATTTGTTAAGATACTAAGTTACAAAAAATACATTTTCACTACTCACTGTTTAGTGTATAACCACCCAGAAATCTGATTGAAGTAGCTTATGGAATGATGCTTTCACAAGCTTAAATAAGTATAATTTTATTTTAAGTAGAAAATGGGCAGATTAGATGAGTCAAATGCTCTTTTTTGTCTGCCGTCAGCAGCTTTGCCCCTTTGTATCTTCATGTAATAATGCACATATATCATCACTCTTAAGTTGTTTATCATGCATTACTATATGAATCACACAGAACACCAAACGTGCCAAGATTCCGTTTAATTCATTGGAGTTTCCAGATTGCAAGATCTTCTTAGGACAAACACAGTGTTAACTGCAAATATGAATTCATCCTGATTTTGTCTAAATTGCAGTGTTGTGTGGGTAATGCTTACTTGCTGTTCTTTGTAGTGTGAGATTAAAATATTCAGTAAATAGAGTTTAATGACCTGAAATGACCCATTGAAAGACACCACATTTTGCATAATACGTATATATATTTTTTTCATCTTCCCTTAATGCCTTTATTATTTATTCAATAAATCCCTTTTTTCTTCCTGACAGCATTCGTATTTATAGAGCCAAATCCATCTCTGTGAAATGTTCATCACTTTGTAAACGAAATGCTAATGTTT